CCCCAAAACCCCAAAACCCCAAAACCCCGGGGTGGAAATAAGATATTGAGTATTGGTTATTTTTTATTATTGTTTTGAGTTTTGGTGTTATTCTAATTTCTCTTTCTAGATCTTCCAATTTTATCCAGATCTTTAATTGCCATACTTTGACTTTTATTAAGAGTCTTTTGAATTTCTACTGGAATTTTTCCTTTAAGTTCAAGCCTGCTCTGTTCAAGGAATGGTAAATTGCGAATAGCCTCTTGTATAGGATCCTTTTTCTTCTTTTTCTTTTTGATTTCCTAAAAATCATTCTGCTATCTTACATTGCTATACTGGAGAGACTTCTTCCTGGAGCTAACTGGAAAGGCTTGAGCTGTGGCTGAAGACTTGAAGTAATATTTTTCTAAGAACAATTAGGAATGAATACTGTTTTCGTAAAGCTTTAGGGATGGATTGAATTCTTTCTGCTCCATCAATTTTGATTTCGTTTCCTGTATTATTAGAGTATAAGAAAAGAAATTAAAATAAAATGAAATTTAGTTGACTCATGTCAGAGGTTCGCAACAAAAGTATGATATCTGCAATAGAGATTTATTTTGCTAGAGGGTACCATTAGAAACTATATTCACAAAATTTATTATATCTAAAGTAAAGAATTTTCATGAGAAACCTTATCATTCTTCCTTTTAAACATTATTTAATTTAATCTAATATAATTAGAAACCCCTCTCTAACGAACACACAAATGTTTTCTTCTAAAATGAATAAAAACTGATATTCCAAAGCAAAACCTTTGGGTCTAACCCATCCAGACCAACAGAGTGGGAGGACCACTAAAGTAAGTTCCAAAGCAATCCCAATGTAAGTGGTTACTCTTAGAGTTTCTTTATCTGGCGTTTATAAGTGATTTTGAAGTTGGTCACCTAGAATTAAGACTGGGCTTACATCCTGAGCCAGGTTATTTCTGAAACACTTTTTCTAAAAGATGTTAGACACCCATAGGAATTAACATGCTTTCAAGGTGGTGGCAAAAGTAGAGATGGGTAGAATGGCATCTACAAGGGTCAACGAAGACAGATTTTAGAGACTGGGTTGTGTGATAATTTTGATTTTAACAAGAGATCGCTTAGAATCAGATTTTGTAAATTTATAAAATGATATTACATTTATATTAAATTTTACTAAATTAGCTAATTTTATTAAAAGGTTAGAAGAAGTAATATAATTTTTATCTTATCTCTTGTTTAACAATTCTTAATTTTTTCTTAAAAATTTATTCTCAAATTTTACTAATCATGATTTCTGTTTTAGAATTTCGATATTTTAGTGCCATTTATCAAGTTAAAATCTCTTTTTAAAAATCAATAATTTCAGAACTTTAAGGCATTAAAGCAAGATATGCATGAAAGAGAGTGATTACCTTCTCTCTGGAAGACAGAGAATGAATTTATAGCTTTGTTAATAACTACCGCTTCTTTCTCACTCCTAAAACTCAGAATAACATTACAGCTCTTTAGACAACACTTCTTGTTTCTCCAAACCCTGGTCCATACTCAACCGCACACTCTGCTTTCCTAAATCTATGAGCCGCTGAACCTACTACTAGTATAAAGCGAGCTTGCTGCATTGCGCTTATTAAGACTTGCATACTTCTTCTTCTTCCTCTAATTAAATAACCCTCCAAAGCTTACCAATTTTCAAAAATTTCCAAGTCTGTACTTATGGACTTGGTACTCAAGGTTGGCTTGGCTTTCCCTTACATAGCTATCTTCTTCATCAATAGAATAAAATTCCTATTTTAAGCCTTTAAATCGTACTTTAAGAGCATCGGTTGCCTTCATCAGAGTTGCAATCATTTTGAAAGTACTAAAATAATAATGAATTCGTACTTGTGAGCAACGTATTTGTACTGAGGCTCCTCGAACACTTTCAATTTGGGCTTGTCCAGGAAGGAAGGCATGTGCGAAGACTCCTCAGAGTCGGAGTCTGAAGAAGCTGAGAATTTGCTTGCTTCTGTATTTTCGATGAATGAGATTAGATGTGAGCATGCTGACTTCTTGTTGCCTAGAATTAGGGTCTAGCTTACGAAATTTCAGAGGAGAAATCTCCTTTATTTTCTCCATTCTTTTCGAAGGATTGCTATAGAATAGGAGATGATTCTTACAGTAAGTTATTTGGACTGATTTGTATTTAAACGGCTATGAGATAAACCTCTAATCTTACTTAGTCCAAGTAGCGCTTGAAGGTTGATTAGCATCAGAAGAGTGTACTATTTTGCCTTTCTTATGTTTAGATTTATAAAATTTTCTTTTACTCATCGGAAGGGCTGACTCGGGGGGTTTAGGTAGGTCTGGTTTAAGGAATAAAAATTTATTGCTTTGAGGATAAACAGAATTCTTATTTAGCTAGAGTATTCTTATTTTCAAAGTTTGATATAGAATTCCTTTTCTGCCTGAAGCTTCCTATTTTAGCACTATTTTGTAACATTCCATACAAACCTTTTTAAAAAGAACCTCCGATTACCACTACTGTCTGAATCAGAGAGGCTGAGGTTCTGGTCTTCCACAGTTTTGACAGTTTCGACTTTATAATTACCAGAAAATTTACCTATTTTGAAGCATTTGAATCTGAAACAGTTGAACATTGCCAGAAAAGCTTGCATTATTTGATGATATTTCTGATTATTCTCAGTTGCTAAGGCTTGGAGTCTCGCAATCTCAGCTTCCTTGTCTTTGACTTCTTTATTTTATCTCATTTGTGCTTCTTTTGGACCAAAATTGAAGAGCAGATTTCGACCTGTTGCTCAAGAACTCGTGGAGAATTTTATGCTCATTTTCGAAAAATTCCTTCTCTTTTGTGAGGGCTTTTAGCTTTGAGTTATTTAGCATAAATAAGTGTGTAATAATCGCCATCAGTATCGTTAAAAAGCCGTTTAGCTCTAGAGTTCATCTCAATAATGATCTCAATGCAGTTTGTAGCAGCTTGAATGATATCATCCTCGGTGAGATCTCTGGTCTGATGGTAATATCCATTATATATCTCGCATTTATTTAAGAATAAAGCTAAAAGAGGAGTTGATTCAAAGATATTATTGCTGAAAGTATCATCTATTGTCATATTTATGACTGATTGGCGGTCATAGAAGAACTTAAGAGATTCAAAGCAAACAACGTTTGATTTTCTTGAGATTGTCTGATTCTTTTGCTTTCGGTGATCAAAATATTTTTTGATATACAAGATATACATAAGTTTATCTAAGATCTTAAACTCTTCTACTTTGCTTTTAACATTCTCAAGCTCGTCTTCCTCCTCATTCTTATATTTATTAATCAAAGACTGAGTGCTGCTCTCACTAGACGAAGTAGTAATTGATTTCAAGACTAGTTTCTTTTTCCTTCTCATAGCCTTATTAAATCGAGTCTTGACATCTTCCAAAGTGATTACTTTTCCTGTAATTTTTCTGATTTTATTTAATATCTAAATTCCCACTAAAAGAAAAGACATACCTTTTCTAGATTCTATCAAGAATTGAGCTGTTTGGAGTTTTTCATCATTCTCAGATATCTTTTGATATCTTTCAGTGATATTCGTTACATTGTTCTGGACTTGATGAGTGCTCTGTTGCAATCTGTCCTTCATTTTCCTGTAATATGGTGAGCATTTTTGGGTTAAAATGAGTAAATTAAGATGTAAACTGATATAACCAGCCAGATGAAGATCCATGGGTATAGCCAACGCTTACTTAAGTATCAAACTTTCAATGAATATTCTCTAGAGATTAATATGAGGGAGTTACAATTTGATCATCTTCTTTATTTCTTCACTTGAGCCTTCAGGTTTTCTAAGATCAGCTTTGTTTCTTCTTCTTTCTGGTTAATTTTGCCTAAGAATTTATTAAGAATTTGGAAAAGATAGAGCAATCTCAAGGAGACATAGCCTATGGAGCAAGCATTAAAAAAAAATTAATTAATTTTTTAGAGTAGAGAATTCAATTCTTTCAAATCTGCTGAAAATGTGATAATAACTTCTCTAATTTCCCTCAACGGATATATATTCTGTGACTTTTAACCAGCATATTCTTTATCTTATCAATTTCTTTAACAAATGTTGTGGTTTAAGGATAACTCAGGAGCAATTATAAACTTTACTGTAGTTCAAACTAAAAAATACTCAAGGGATATCTTAAGGAGCCATCAGTTGGCAAACCTGATTAAAATCTCTAATTCTCACCATAAGTCTATACACATTTTAAGAATTTCAGCAGGTTTTATCACTTTTTGTATTTATCAGCTACAAAAATCGGCCAAAATGTTTGAGTATTGAAATTACTTTTTGAAGTCCAAGCTGTTTGGGTAAGAAATAGCTGGTCTTTTGCATCTCTGGGTAATTTTGAGTTTGACTAAACAATCAAAATTGTATTTACTTGGCCAAATCCAGGGGAGTACCAATTTACAAGTGGTTTTGAAGCTGGGTTTTGATATTGGGTTTGTAATTGGAGAAGCTCGAGCTCTTGCTTAAGAGAAGCAAGTTTTTCTTTTTGGGCTTTTCTGTAAGCTTTTAAGCAATTCAGCTTCTTCCGCGCCTAAGATATAAAGCAGAGGCTACCTTAAAAATTTCAGTATTAGCAAATCTCTTCGCCAGTCTTGTATTAGGAGAGGTTACTAAAATTAAATTCAGGGTGTTTACAGCATTTCACTTCCCATTTAGTGAAAGTTTTCGAGAGATTCTTGTTCTTGTCCACATTATTTCTAACTTCATTAAGCTGAGTATTCTCTTTTTCAGTTTTTCTATTTTATCTTGTTTGCAAGCTTAGTCATTTTCTCAAGCATTGGAGAAATTGCTAAATTTTACTACTCATTTTACGTTGAAAATTGGACTTAAAACGATCTGGGGGAGGCTGGAAACTAATGTTCTTCAAGTTAATTCCTAAATATAGATTTGATAGAGTAACTTTACCTCTCCGAGAGGCTAATAAGCTCTTTTTCTTAGCCATTAAGAGTCCTATAAATTATAACTTGTGCTTGCACCTTCTAGTCCTGTTGATTCAGGAGATTCTAGACCATGAAAGTTTCCTATTTGATGTTTGACATTCCTTTGAGGAATCTTGGTGGGAACCAAAAGAAAATTTTGAGATTTTTTATTAGGTTTAACTTTTTGATTTGGCTTTCCTATTTCAAATTTTAGAATTAAATATCCTCAAAAAAATGGAAAACTTGTTTTATTTAACCTTACAGGAACCAAATACTCCTGGGTTCAGAAAACTATTATCCCGAGATGAAAAGTTCCGCTCTTTCTTCTCGAAATTGCCTGTCTTCGTTGCTTTCGATGGAGTCAAAATATTAACTTCACTATAAAAATTACACAATCCAAGTCCCACAGATCCCATCAAATCAGCATACATATTATCTAACTTCTTGGGTATATCAATCCTAATAGCTGTGTTATTCCTGAGTCTTCTCCGTGAAGTATTCCTGGAAGTTTTCAAATCATCATTTAAACTTGTCTTCTTTGATTTCAAAATCGACACTATTATTATTTAAACCTTAAAAATGCCATAGGTAATCTATGAAGCCAAAATTTATGAAAATTACTCGATTTTCTGGATAATTTCCTGTTCCTTGACCTCTTTGACCGAGGCCTTGCACTTTTAGGATGACGTTTCATCTTTAAATTATTTTAAATTTAGAGAGAAGTTTGGGGTTTTGGGGTTTTGGGGTTTTGGGGTTTTGGGG